CTCGAACAACCATCCATTTCTCTCTATATATTATTCCTGAATTCTATGAGAAACAAGTTCTTGAACAAAACAAAAAATTTTGACAAAGTTTGGGAAGGACTTCAACTCGTGGATTTACACAGTAATTAGCATAGAACCAACAAATAATTCGAAACGAAAAGCAATAAAAATCCCCCAAACTTGAACTAAACATTGTCCATTCCCTATCTATGTTCATTCTGTTGTAATCCCCTTCGAATATCAATGAAACTTCTTATCTTTTCCTGTTGTTTCTTTTGGTTTTTATGTTTTTCACGCATAATTACCTTTTCGATTATGATAAAAAGGGGGAGTAATTAAATGAACATAATTTTGATTTCAATAATCAAGTTCTGGAAAGTGTTCTCTGAAAAGAGATACTTACATTCTAACCCAGTTAAACTTCTGTTTCTGTTAGAATTGTTTTTCTTTTTCAGGAAATTAGAACTCTGATTAAAGAAAAAGATCTGAAAGCATTATTCAGGCTTATGTCTAACCTGTTGGATTTAGACGACTATTGGCTTCAGACTTTGAAGATGTTTTTCAATTCATAATTAGACTCCAAGAAGTGAAATCTGGAATCAGACTCCAAAATTTAGAATCTGGAAGTTGTCTTAGTGACATTAAAGTTTCAAATATTTCAATTTGATTTCATTCTTGTTAGCATCTAAATTCAAGATTCAATAAGAAGAAGTTCTATGAAATCAAGATCTCAACTACTCGATTGGAATCAAGATCTCAATTTGTCCATTGGCATCCAGAAGTCAAGAATCTCAAAATCTCGATATCTGATCTATTAGAACCAGGGGAGTTTTACTCAAATGGTTCAGAGTCAAGATATTCGATCTTCATCAAATCATTGACTCAGGGGGAGTGTCATAAAAAGGATAAATATTCCTTACCTTTATATTATCACTTCTTATGATTATAAGAATAAAATTGTATCATCAAAATCCATAGTTTTGTCATAATCAAAAAGGGGGAGATTGTAAGAATAAGATTTGGTTCTGCAATATCATATGAGTTTTGATGATAACAAATGAGTATGTTTGTATGAACAATTTTGATACTCTAATGTTTGTTATTATTGAGTACTTAACAAACAAGTTCTACTTCTGATAGATGGTGTATCCAAGATATTATAAGAGAATTAATTCCGCTTCTACGCTAAACAAGTTATGTTGAACAGTAGCAAGACACTCTAGAAGGCTCTGAAGTGTAAGCTTTGATGTTTGTCTAAAGAAAACAGTCAGAAAATCTTAAGACAAAATTTTCTACTTACGTGTAGATGCTAAAGACTCAAGCTTCTAAAGACAACATGTTCTAAAGAAACAAAGTTAGAAGATCTGAAGACAAAGTTTCTACTGAAATCCAGATGCTGAAGACTTGTGTTTCTAATAACAAGGTTTTAAAGATAAGAGTTTTAAAAGACCAAGTGTTGAAGACTCTAAACACAAAAGTTATAAAGATTATAAAGACTTGATGTTCTAAAGACCCAAGGTTTTAAGAAAAGATTCTCAAAACCAAGTGCTCAAGACTCTAAAGATGTAGTTCTGAAGACTCTGAAAACTTAAAGTTCTGATGACCTGATGTTATGTTCCCACTTCTAAACTCATGCTCACAGAAGCCTCTAAAGTGCAGAAGGAAAGAAGATAACGTTAACGTGGTACAAATAGTACATAGTACAATCAATATTTCATTCCACTACCATGAAAGGACGGACGCGTCACACGATCTTGTCTCCCACTTTACTGTTCAAGTTTCCAATGTTTCTGGAAATTCCAAGAGTACCCCTCAATGGATATATTATTTTATTGGCTATATAAAGGCTTGAAGACTAAGATAGAAAGCTGTCAATTCCTTGAATATTCATGCTCAAACGATGTTCATAGCTTTCACATTCTTAAGTCATTGTTCTTAAAATAGTTTACATATTCAGCTTGTGTAGAAGAAATACTCTTGTAAACAAAACTTGTATTCAAACAGTTATTTGATTTTCCTTAAGGAATCCAGGTAGGTCTGTATTCTTAAGAAGTCCAGAACTTAGGAGTTTTATAAGTTGTCAGCCACTTGCGGGTAGCTTGTGCATTGTAATAATCAGGTTGATTATTGTTTGATATTCCTTAAGGGATTGGATAGGTCTGAATCTTTAAGAAGTCTAGAGTCTTAGAGGTTGTTAGTCACTTGCGGGTAGCTTGTGCAAATTGTAATCAGTTTGGTTATAGTGAATTAAGTCCTCATTGAGTGAGGCGAAATCACCTTGGCGGATGGACTAGACTAGCTTGATAATTTTCAAGTGAACTAGTATAAACATACATTGTTTTTTACTTCATGTTCTTATTTATTGTTATTATAAAGAGTGAAGGAAAAATAATTTTAACTTAATGGGCAATATAAAGAAATTTTTTTGTTTAAAAAACTCAATTCAATCCTCCCCCCTTTCTTGTGTTTTTCACACCTTCACTCTCATTCTTTCTGCTTAAAATTCACAATATCAAATACCTTGCGAATATAAACAGAAGACGAAAAGTATTCATCCAGTCCATATGTTTCCAAGTAGTAATACTCCCAGGAGGTAATGAGTAAAACCACTCTTCAACCTCTTCAGGAAGTATGAACGAGAACATTCTTAACTTCTTAGCTTCTTCAAAGTAGTACTCATGGTGAGGAATCTCTGCAAGTGCTTATTGGCATCTTCATTGATCTTTCCGCTAAAAGATATGTTCTCAAGTTATCGGATTATTGAAGGGTGCAACTGAAAAATTGCCACAATTATCGGTTGATTCACGATAGTCAATCGACCTGTTGAAGCATTTGCTCCTCCATAATCTCCAAGAAGACTCTCAGGTGGTGATGGGTCTTCAGCCATGATTTCTTCGTCCTTTTTGGATGCTGAACCTGAATGATCTAATGAACCTTCTTCTTCTGACTCTGACTTTGTATGAACTGAATATTCTTTGTCAGAAGCCAGTCTGTCTAATCTAGCTTGTATGTGCCTTGCGTGAAAAGTCCTTTCAATTTCTGGGTCAAAAAGAAAATTAGCTGAGGGTTCTCCTCGCATACAAAGATTAGATACAAATCAACAAGAATAAACAAAATTATAAAAATAACAGAAAATAAAATTTTAGTTGCAGAGCAACAAAATTTTAATTGAACTATAATTGAGCTTTATAATTTGGCAGTCCCCGATAGCATCGTCAAAAACTTGATAGGAAAAATAGAAAGTGTATTATTTTTGCCTTGCAATAATAATAGGAAATTCCCAAGATATTGATCTCAAGGACTGCTTGCAATTAATGAGCTAAATTCTTAGTTCAATTAAACAAAAACTTAATTTGGGGTTTTGGTTTCGATATTGTCACTTAACAAAAAGAAGAAATATAAAATAACTTTTTCACAGATATGAGGATCATGTTAGGGTAAGGTGTATAATTTACCCTGTAACTATCTTGAATCTTGATCTCTTCAACAAGTTTATATCCTTCAATTACCAGCCTTTTAGATTATCTTCCCCTAAGTCCTTAGTGGGAAAACCTTTAACCATCCATCCTAAATCCTAAGTCCTTAAAGATATCTAATGGAGTCAAGCCTTTATTTTATTAAGGGTTAAATCCGGTAACTATAGGGTATCCCTAGTCCTAGGTTATACCTACTATAGTATAATTATACAAAAACCTTAACAATTGCGGTCCAGTTGGTTGTTACCCGTAAATCAATCCTAATTTATTCAATTAGGAAGGCATAAAAACATTTTACAATTAAATCTAATAGAGAAGACTTTATTAAAGAACTTAGAAATTCATAATCATTACAGATTCAAATCAGGGACACCCCCTAGGATTGGAGAGTTTAGTTACTCATATTGTTCAAAAGAATTTCAACGATATAAAGATTAAACATTACAGATAAATGATGAACTTTGATCTTCAATCGTTATGACTCATGAAAAATCTCCGTCCTCCAAGAATCTCATACGTTGCTCTCTCCAATCCTCAATTCTTTATGCGACAAAAAGTTTCCTAATTCCTCATTCAAACTTGGCTAAATAGTGAACAATCTATTTGTCTCAGTCAGAAATACCCAAAACGCTCCTTTGGGTCCCAAATAGTGAAAAATCATAAAAACACTTAAAATTAGCGTCACTGACCAACACGGTCCGTGTCAGGCGACACGGCCACCCGTGTTGGCCATCAGGTAATTTTTCTACTTCAGACATTGCTGACACGGCTCGCGTCAGGCGACACGGCCACCCGTGTCAGCCCCTATTTTCCACGATGTCCAAGTCTTCCCCCTGACACGATCCATATCAAACGATACAATCACTCGTATTAAAATCTGTTTTCCATGCTTTTCACGTCTTTTTCCTGACACGGTCCGTGTCAGATGACACGACCACCCTCTGTGTCAGGAGAAACATCATTTAGTCAAATCTATGTTTTTGCTTCATAGATTAAAAATCTATTGAGAAGTATGTTAGAGCAAAAATTCTTCCTTAAATTCTAATTCTTTTTGAAACCATTATAATAGACGAAGAAAAAAAAGATAGAACACAAATTTGCAAACAATAAAAATAAAACATAACTACTAAAAAGCAAGAAGAAATTGGTGAGGAGTGGTTTCCATTTTATAGGCTGCTGCTAATGGATTATTTTGCATGATAATCTTTTTTATGTTTTCTCATTTATTATGTCTTCTCACTCTTCTAATTTTCCTTTTTTTGGTAACACAAATCCAACATTACCAAACGATTCCCAACCTAAATAACTAAGTAGAAAATGAAAAACCCTACAAAATGGACTAAAATAATCAAATCAAATAACAAATCAAAAGTCAAATTTCCTACCATAACTATCATAAACACCCACCATGTATTTCATTATCTAAAATGCATTAATTTATTTTGTTTAGATTCCATAAATTCATCACCATATTATATCTATGGTCACTTCCCATACTCTTACACTGTGTTTGTTTGAAAAGAAATGCATGGGAGAGAAGTAAAGAAGAGAGAGTTAAAGGAGAAATTACATACTTCTTTTGTTTGGTTGACAAGTGAAATAGAGAAGAGAGAGTAAAAGATATGAGGTCCACCAATTTTTTTCTCTTCCACGTCTACTCTCTTTTTGATTTTTTTTATTTAAAATTCAAGTTATAATAAATTCATGATGCAAGTGTGCACTGCTATTTTAATTTATTAAAATAAAACTGAAATGAAATGAATCATATTAATTAAAAATTTTAAGTTAGTTAAGAAATATTTATATCAAATAATTTATTTATTCGAATTAACTAATCAACCAAAATTATAATAACTAATTTAAATTGATTTCGATAAAAAAAATTGCATTTAAACAATAAAAAAACTACATAAAGTCAAATAAAACAAACTACTTTTTTTATAAAATCAAATAAAATAATGAAACAAATATAAAATGAATATTTAATTAATCAAAAATAAATATCATAATAGAATAATATAAATTTAAATAATTTGAATATTAACTACCTAAATTTTTTTATTAAATAATCATTAGTTCTTTTGTTGGAAATAGTCCTTAAATACTTTAAATAATTGTTAAATAACGTAATTTAAATAATATAAAATTATATATTAATTTTTTCATTTAAGTGTAATTTTTTCACTTAAAAAATAATTTTATTTTTTCCTTTTAAATTTTTGTTATATTTCTTTTATAATAAATAATACATCAAAAATAATATCTTTCTCTCTTCTTAAATCTTTTTCTCTTTGTTTTTTCATCAAAGCCAAACACACTTTAATGCTTCTTATTTCACACCCTCTCACATATTTATAACTATACATCATTCATTTCCTCTCTTTCTCTCCATCACAATTCACATTTATTTAATTATATATATACTCATCACATAGACCCTTTTCTCTTCCATCCTAATATCATTTTTTTTTTAAAAACTTTTGGTTCCCTTCAAAAGTGGAGTGAAGAGTGTTCTTTTCCAAAACACAACAATCCAAGGTTTGTTTCTCTTCCTCAATCTCTTCACTTTCACATTTTTTTTCAATAATCTTTTCACCTTATCTTTCACTCTTTTGAGCAGAAACATCAAATCCAAGAAAGTGATTATGGGTCTTGGAAGATTGGTAGGAACACTAAAGTCCAAAATAAAGTCATTGAAAATGAAGAAACCTTACAACAAGGTTGAGAAGAGTGAAAGTATGAGAGTGGAGATAAAGAGTAGAAAAGCCAGAAAGCTTATTGAAGAAACTCTCAAAATTGCTGATTCACCAAACACAAAATCTTTCAACTTCTGATCCTAGTACTTATCTACCTTAACCTTAATCATGTTTCATGTAACAAACCTTTTTAAGGTTCTTTTATGTTCTTTGTATCTAATCTAGTATAATTCCAATAAATAAATAATTAGTAGGTTTTCATTATTTTTCTTCTAATTATTATATACGTCGTTTAATCAATATTATAAAATAAAAATTAGATTTATTAAATTATTATGTATAAGATACATCAATTATTTAATAAAATAAAAAATTTGTAATAATAACCAAACAGGATGTGGTTCTAGAATATTACTCTTAGTGTGAGATTGATGTGAAACATGAAAAAGTTTGGTTAACATGGTTGAGTTTAGTTTAACATGCTTTATGTTTAGATAAAAATGGAAGGTGGAAAATAAAAAATGGAAATGAAAAGGTTAAGAAGTGGGAGAGAAATTAATTGTTTTTTATTGTGAGTAGTGGATATTGATTCAGCACCGATCGTTTTCAAATTTATTGCGTATTAACATCAGGTCTGTTTTGGTTGGACCATCTAGAAAGAATAGGACAGAGGTAATTATGTCACATTTACTTCTTTTTTTTTTGGGTTTTTTACCAAGAGAAAACAAAACGATTATTTTTTTAAAATGATATAATATGATAAATGATATATTTTTATTGGATAATGCAGTACTACTATTTTTTAGGCTGTCAGTACATTTACTTGGAATTTTTTTATCAAATAAAAAAAATGTTTTTGTTTTTATTTTAAAATATTTCTTTGACCTAAGCAAATATTATAAAAATTGGAATAGAATTAAAATATGAGAGAATATCAAAATTAAACCTACTCCGCATGTTGTTATAACTATTGTTTTTTCGTCCAATTTTAACCATACTTTTAAAATGTTTGGAGGATTATTTTGGATGATGAAGATTTGAATTATCATGATGCTTAAATTTTTAGTCTAGACTTTAATTAAGTTTTTGTTTTTTTTTTTAAATTTATGGTTTTTATTTTTAAATAAGAATACTTCATAAATTTTGAGTAATTTATTTTAATTTTTAACAATGTATTTGTTAGTATTAAATATGGTTGAGAGCTTCTGATGCAATAAAATGGAGGATGT